CTCCCCAACATACCAGTTTCTTCTAGGATATCCAGGGCATATTTCCTTTGACAGATAGAAATGCCCTGTCTGGATTGCGCCACCTCAATTCCCAAGAAGTAACGCAGCTTCCCAAGGTCCTTTGTTTGAAATGTACTAAACAAATGCTGTTTTAACTGACGAATTCCGTCTTGATCACTTCCGGTGAGAATGATGTCGTCAACATAGACTAACAAATAGATACACTTATCAGGAGATGTAATCCTATAAAACACAGAATGGTCAACTTTACTGCGGATTAAGCCAAACGCCTGAACAGCAGAACTGAAGCGACTGAACCATGCTCGAGGAGACTGCTTGAGACCATATAAGGATTTCCGAAGACGACACACCTTTCTAGACTCCCCCTGAGCAACAAAACCAGGTGGTTGCTCCATGTAAACTTCTTCTTGTAAATCACCATGAAGAAAGGCATTTTTGATGTCAAGTTGAAGGAGTGGCCAGTGACGAACAGCAGCAAGGGCAAGAAAGAGGCGGACTGACGCCATCTTAGCGACCGGAGAAAATGTATCGCTATAATCAAGGCCAAAGATTTGAGTAAAACCCTTGGCAACTAAACGTGCCTTGAGACGATCAATATGGCCATCAGGTCCAACTTTCACAGTAAAAACCCAGCGACAACCAACTATAGACTTCTCTGGAGGAGCAGAAACAAGGTCCCAAGTGCCATTGGAATGAAGTGCAGTCATCTCATCAAGCATTGCTTGGCGCCACCCTGGATGGGAAAGTGCTTCACCTGTGGTCTTAGGAATAGAAATAGAAGAAAGACTAGAAACAAAGGTGAAATGAGGTGAAGAAAGACGGTCATAACTCAAAAAGGTATAAAGAGGATAAGGGTTACGAGTAGTACGTGTACCTTTTCTTTGAGCAATGAGAAGAGTCTCTGATGAAGGATCCGGAGGGGAAGAAGCAACAGCAGTGGGCGATGAGTCAGCAAGAGTCGAGTCGACAGGAGGCACAGTTTTGCGACGCTGATAGGTGAGAAGTGGACGGTCCTCAGGTATAGAAGCAATAGGTTGCTCATCTAGAATAGAAGCACCTGCAGCTGGCAAAGACAAGTCAAGAAAAGGGACAGGAAGTACATGATCAATCTGTGACATCTGAGATGGGATAGAATTAAAGGGTTGTTGATCAAGAAAAGTGACATCAGTGGAAACTAAGTAACGCTTAAGATCGGGAGAATAACAACGATAACCCTTTTGAAGACGAGAATAACCAAGAAAGATACACTGAAAGGCTTTGGATGTTAACTTATCCTTACCAGGAGTGAGATCATGAACAAAACAAGTACAACCAAAGACATGTGGAGTTAGAGGATAAAGAGGAACATCTGGAAGCAATAGATTATGAGGAATGTCATTGCGGAGCACAGATGAAGGCATGCGATTGATGAGAAAACAAGAGATGAGTACAGCATCTGCCCAGAAGTGAAGGGGAACCTGCATATGAATAAGAAGGGTACGGGCAGTTTCAATGAGATGTCTGTTTTTACGTTCAGCCACCCCATTTTGTTGTGGAGTGTGAGGACAAGTAGTTTGATGTAAAGTACCTTGTGTGGCCAAGAAATTAGAAAAATCAATAGAAACATATTCCTTAGCATTATCACTACGTAGAATACGAATAGAAACACCAAATTGAGTATGGATCTCAGTAGAAAACTTTTTATAAATGGAAAATAGCTCGGAACGATTTTTCATTAAATAGGTCCAAGTGCAACGGGAAAAATCATCAATAAAGGTAACGAAATACCGAAAACCTAAGACAGACAACGTACGACTTGGACCCCAGATATCTGAATGAACAAGAGAGAAAGGGGCATCAGCTCGTTTATTGACTCGACTGGCAAAAGAGGAGCGTGTATGCTTCCCTTGTTGACATGACACACAATCTAAAGATTGAAGACCGGATTGGGCTCGAGCTAGCCTAGTGATTGGCTAGGAGGCGGGTCGAGTACTTTGCGCTTCGGGTACTCGGTTGAGGGGGAGCATACCAATGGTGGGTTTCACACTTTAGGGGGAGATTGTTGAGATATTCAAGTGTGATGAGTCCCCCCACATTGGTTGGTAATGAGCTAAGTGAAGAGTATATAAGTGAAAGGACCCATGAACCTAATCCTAATACAGTCAGAATATTTACGGATAAGACGGAATCCAATCATATCTAATCATATCTAATCATATCATGTCTAATATTCTAACAGTTAATAAAAGCCTTGTATGGCTTAAAGCAGTCCCTTGTGTCTGGTTTGAGAGATTTACTAAAGTTATGATGACCTTTAGGTACAAACAGAGTCAAGGTGATCACACACTTTTCTTGAAACACTCTCAAGATGGGAAGCTCATTATGCTTCTTGTGTATGTTAATGACATTTTTATAACTGGTGATGATAGTGTGGAGAAACATGTTTTACAAGCACAACTAGCCTTTGATTTTGAAATTAAGGACCTTGGCAGATTGAAGTATTTCCTAGGGATAGAGGTAGCTCATTTAAAGGAAGGAATCTTTACCAGTATGAGGAAATATGTTCTTGATCTTCTTAAGGAGGCAGGAAAACTTGGATGTAAACCTTCTAGTACTCCTATGGAGAAAAATCACAAGATGGGATATGAAGAAGAAAGTCCTCTAGTTGATAAAGGGAAATATCAACGGTTAGTATATATCTAGCTCATACTAGACCAGATTTAACTCATGCTATTAGTATTGTCAATCCATTCATGCATAATCCGAGATAAAAACACATGTAGAAGTGGAAAGATTTCTTCAGTATCTTAAATATACTCCTGGCAGAGCACTACTGTTTTGCCGTGATGGAAAATTTTCTGAGAAGTTTACACTGATTATGCTGGGTCGGTGACTGACCGTCGATTTACCACTTGGTATTGTATGTTTCTTTGTGGTAATTTAGTGACATGGAGAAGTAAGAAGATGTGGTTGTTAGGTCAAGTGTAGAAGCAGATTTTCGAGCAATGGCCAAGGTATTTGTGAATTGTTGTGGTTAAAAATTATACTTGATGATCTTCATATAAAGTGTGAAGGACCTATGAAGCTGCTTTGTGATAATAAGTCCGCCATATGTATAGCTCATAATCTAGTCCAACATGATCGAACTAAGCATATTGAGGTTGACCGTCATTTCATTAAGGAGAAACTTGATAGCAAGCTGAGGAATAGATGTTTATCATTCCAAGCTTGCTATCAAGTTCTTGAAATCTATGAAACTTGATAGCAGGCTGATCTTTACTCCATACATTCCCTTTGGGCGCCAATTAGCTGATGTTTTGACAAAAGGACTCTCCACAGATAGATTTCAAGAACTTGATAGCAAGCTTGGAATGATAAACATCTATTCCTCAGCTCGAGAGGGAGTGTTGTAAATAGTTGTTGTAAATAATATTGTATTATTTAGATTAGTATTTTATTATTTAGATTACTCTAAAAGCTTCTTTGGGCTTAGCCCATTAGGTCATTTAGTCTCTTTAAATAGACAGCTTTTGTATAGTTATTTACACAATTCAATAATACATTTTTTTTTTCAAGTCTCTCCTAGTTCAGCACCTTATGTTCCCTTCTCTCCACCAATTTCATCATCTCCCATAACTCCTTTATTCACCTCTTCCCCTGTGTATCATCTAATGATTCTAAATCTTCATAATTATTAAAGTTGTGTGAAAAGCGTAGAGAAAATGAGAGAAAGTTCAGGAGAGACAGAGAATCTGAAAGAAACTCATTATATTCAGATCTGAAGAATGAAAAACTGATACAAATACTTGTGATACAAGCTCTATATATAGACCCACTGATGACTCAGCAATGAGTCAACAAACTAACTGACTAGTAACAAACTAACTGATCGGTGATCTAGATCTAGTACAACAAGTACTACAGTAGTAGGATTACAATATAGAGTACAGTTTGCCATATCACAGATATATAACGCTAAGCTAATACTAATCCCTTTGTGTTGTCATGTGCTTCTCCATCTTTTCATCTTACTCATCCACTAATTACACACCTTTTTTTAGTCCTATGACAAATCCATATCCTATGCAAACTAGAACCAAATCTGGTATTGCTGCATATATATCTGTTCTACGAGTTAATAATACTTGGTCCCTAGTTCCATTATCTCCATAGACAATTATATTGCTAGGTTGGCTGCTAAGGGTTTTGAAATGTTGATAAAATATGAGTGTGAAGTATCCATGTACATCTAGGGGTAAGAGAGCAGGCAAGAATTTCAAAGAACTATATGTAATGCTGTTTTATTTGGGTTTTTATTTTGGACTATTACTGGGGTAAACATGGGGATATTCTAAGGGATTGGAAGGTCAGTCTTTAGGAGTTAATGCAAAAGAAAACTTTCATGAATGTTTTATTGCTTTATGGAGTGGTGCTCAACATCTATGTTGAAGATGGGCATTTCCTGGAGCATTTTGAGTATTTTTATGAAAGAAATAACAGGATTGGAGAAAATATGTGGGTCTGTGGCAAAGTATGTTCGTATATTTATTTTTGTCAAGCTTGTATCTTCTTTTGATCTTTATAACTAAGGCTGCCTTACAAAACCTTGTTTCCATTTGGTTGTTTATGAAGGATTTGTTTTTTCTGACACGTGGATGAACTGGAAGACTATTTTGAGTTAATATCCCATTTTTAACTTGTGTGTATTTTGTGACCCCTGGGAGGATAATTTGTACTGCTTTGCTCTTATTTCTTATTTTTTGAATTGAATAAGTTTCGTTGTCCCTTTCCCCCAATTTATTTATGTAATAATATGCATTTCTTCTTGCCATCTCGTCTTTATAGTGTACACCACTTTAGTTGTTCTATTTATCTGGTATGATATATTGCTAAATGCGTTTTGCTTATTGTGAAGTTAAAGTTTAGGTTTTATGTTGGGCTGATACTTTGTTTTCTCCTTTCCCTACCCAACACTTGTTTGGGATCCTTCGCTTTTGTAGTTCTTACCACAAGATAGGGTCTGTGAGTTTGCGAAGTTAACTCCTGTGCAACTTCTGGAAGAGACTGAAAAGGCTGTTGGTGATCCACAACTTCCAGAGCAACATTGTGCATTAGTTGATAAAAGTCGTGCATTGAAGCATATTGAGCTGGTAAGTTCGCCCTTTACTATGGAGTGTTGTTAATGATCTCCTAAAACTTAGCTGTTTGTAAACATTCACTGCACTCATTCCGTTTCAGTCTCTGGAGAAAAATGAAGGAACTTTAAATCAGTTGAAGGAACGGAACGCTGAATTAGAGAAGGATGTTGAACGTGTCCGTCAAAGAGATGAACTTCTTGCCAAGGTTTATATTGGGTTTTGTTGATTACATTCTTTATCTGAATGTCTTACATATGCTGATGGGCTTGAAAGTTGAGGGAGTTAGTTAGTTAGTGAATTGTTCTAGAATATTCTTAAAGAATAGGATAAAAGGAGGGGAAGTGTGTGTAGTGAGGTAAGCATGAATTAAGTGAATATTTGGGGGAAATTGGGGATCTCTTGGAACCTAGGTGTGTTGGTTCTAAGGGTGAGATAAGGGTCTTTTGGTTTATTTTTCTGCAATTAGTGTTTGTAAGGTGCTTGTCTCCATTATTTTACTTTAATATAATTTTCTGGTTCCATCATATGCCAAGCGTTATAGAGCCCTTTGTGCTGGTTTTTTCTTCAGATATGCCAACTTCAGCCTTTTTTTTCCTTTCGTTTAGGTGGTTTTTATATCCTCCTGCCTGGAAACTTTTCTCTATCTTCATGAAATTCCTTTTTTCAAAAAGAAAATAAAATTGAAAAACCGCGCCTTGATCTTTTTATGCAGGCTGCATCAATGAAAAAGAAATTGCCTTGGCTGAGGTATGATATGAAGCAGGCAGAATACCGGGAAGCTAAGGAGCGTGAGAACAATGCAGCAAAGGCATTGGAGGAAGCTGCAAAGTTATTAAATGATCTGAAAGAACCTATTATGTATGATGGTCTTTCTTAATTTTATACTTAAATTGTTTAATTTTCTGATCCTCTTACAGTGAATTGCTAGATTAGAAGATTGCATGTATATTAGCATCAGATGATGTTGGGGGGCTTGACTTTTCGTCAAACACTTAGTAGGTTGCTCGATAAATGGCTGCAAAAGTCGATCTGTTTATTTGTTTTAATTTTAAGCGAACTCCAGTCCATGAAAGAAACTATGAAACTATGTCTTATCCTGTATTAGAAAGTCTATGTCTACGTTATATCCAGGAAGAAGGCAAATAGAAGCCTCAAACCTTAGTTCCATAATGTGGGATTTAAATGAAATGAATTTAGAACCACATTGGTTCTACTTCTTTTGTTTCTCATTTGTTATTGCTTTTCCTTTCCTTCCTAAACTGGTGAATTTGCCCACAACATGTACAAACTTAGTCAAGTTAGTTTTTGATGAAATATTTTCATTTATTCTGGTGTGACTTATCCACCTCAACGGCAGGGAATGTTGAGGTTGTCATGCACACCCTTTGTGTCATACACACTTCAAGATGTCCTAATTCATTTCAGGTAACACTGTCATACAAACCCTTCGTGTCATGGTTGAGAAGCTTCAGTTTTCTTCCAAAATCAAGTTTTTCCAGACAGATTGGGGAATACCGGCCCTTTTCAAAGGTCTAATCTGATCTAGGATTTTTTCATTGTCATCTGTCCACATACACATCACCAAAATGGTACAATAGAAGGGTGCTGGACTTTAAGACTGGGTGTCAAAAAGTCGTAGCTTAAGGACATAATTATCATAAATACAAGGCATGACTTTAAAACACAGGCTGCACTTGCGAAACAGGGAAAGAGGGCTGGGAACGTGCCATGTTTGTGAGGCAATACAAAAAGGGGCTTGGAATGTGCAGGAAAGTTTTGTAAACAGAGCAGGTGTTGGCCAGAAAAGGGTTGAGGTACCAGGGGACTTGACCAGAAAAGGGGCGGGCCTGGCAGGAAAACCTTGGGCATGCCCAAGGTGGGCAGGAACAAGCAGATAGAGGCTAGGACAGAGCAGAGATATGTGAAAAGAGGAGAGGATGTGCAAATCAGAGGTGGGGCCACATAAAAAGAGCTGGGATATGGCTGGATAAGGGGTGGGCTGGCTGGAAAATGCTGTTTAGTGTTGTGGTCACTACATCTGTGAAATAGATTGTGACCAGGCGCTACCTCTATCTAGGCCTCGATAGGAAAACACTCTGCAACAGAGCTCCCGTAGCGGTCTCGCTGCTCTGTTCTGTTTTGGCCCTATTGTAGAGCTGGAACTGTTGCCATTTACTACCCTGATTTCTTTTAATATTACACAAAAACAGAAGCTTATTTTAAGTCTTAAAAGTATGCTGCCACTAAATCCATGGTTATATGATCAAAACGTAGTATTTGCTTTTATATTGACCTTAGTTATTGAGTTATGCAATGAAATTGTTTTCTTGTTTGGTTTGCTTTAAAATATTATAAAATTCGGATTTATTGTTCTGGTGAGATTTTCACCACCACAATTATAGTCCTCTGAGATTATTCCTCATTTTAGAATGGTTTAAGGTTGGTCTATTGACTGATTTGATTTATTTGGTCTTATGATCATGTTATTATTACTGTGATATTTAGCTGAGGATGGTGACTTATCCCAATAGGTCGGGTTGGCCTCTACTATATTATTGTTGTTAACTCATGAACATATGTGTGTGGCAAATACCTCCCTATTTATTTTAAGATATGGTATAGTAGCTTATAATCCATCATGTCGTAGCAGGAAACAAAAAGGGGAGAAGGCTGCATTAGATGCAAAATGTAAAAAGGTTAGCAGCTGCATAAATGAGAATGCTAAGAAGCGAATGGAACTTATGGAGAAAGAGAATCGATTGGTAAATTTTCTCTTCAATTTGCTTATTATACTTTGTTTTTTATTTTATTTTATTTTAGCAACATCAAACCCCTGTGTCTTCCTTTTCATCCATCCACTTCCTTTAAATTGATAACATTCCATGATGTTGTACTTGTGGATTTAGCTTGTACCCCTTTGCTTGAATTTAAGAGTCGTGTATGATTTGAATTTCTTGTTATCAATTTATAGGATGTGGAATTACGTGGAAAGTACAAAGATATGGAAGAGTTAAGGAGGCACGAAGAAACTCGGCAACAAAGACTTAGAAAAGCTAGGGAGGAACTTGCTGCTGCTGAACTTGAACTTGAGAATCTACCTCCTTATGAACCTCCTAAGGAAGAGCTTGTAAGTGTTCTTTTAGCCGCTGGTTATATGATCTGTATTCTTAATTAATTCATTCACATCTTTGTGTAAATTTTTTTAAATTGAAAAGCATTATTATTAGATATCCTATGCTTATGTACTGAAGTACTTTATTCTATCATGAAGTTATACTTTTAAATAATACTATAAGCTAAGCTTTTAAGGACTTTTTGTTGTCTGAGATTTAAGCATAAGGGCTTAAACAATTAGAACTTTATATCTTGTTTTTGAATTCTCAAGATTTTTAACATTCACTTAGGGTCCTTGATGCTGTGATATAAATAATAAGGATTTATTCCAGTGATGGCAATAGTTCACGACTAGCATGTGGTGGTGGTGGTACTGTATTAGCATTGAAAATGATGACTTGGTAAATGGTTAAAACGTTGATTCATAATTTGCAAAATCTGAGGTTGTAACGACAATGGTAATATTGAAGATGATGCTTGATTCAAGCAGATCTTGAAAATATAAGCTTAAGAAGAGGAGTAATTGTTAGTGATGTTAATAAAAAACAATTCATGTGTCTTCACATTACAAATGTAGATTTGTTAAGAAAGTTCATTTGCCGCCAATAGAAGCATCTCAATACAAATGTTGATTTTACAATCCTGTCCAATTGAGCCAATTTCCCCAGGCTTGGCCATGAAAAGGTTTGGACTTTGAGTGTAGACCCAAGGCAAGGGTATCAAGAATGAGCTTGTTGTAGTCAATGGAGATATGCATGGACTTGGAGATGGCTGCCAAGCAGACCACTAATAATGAATGTGTCAAGCAGGCAGGCAGGCTATATGTAATACTAACTGAACGGTCCTATTTATACTGTAAAGAACCAATTCAACCCAAAAGTTTAAGCTATTGGGTGAGGATACATTAATGATTTTATATATCTCAACAAGCCCCCTCACACGAGAGTCTACTAGGCTTGAAGGGTGGATAATGCACTTGCCCACCTACTTGTGCGAAAAAAGAAATTCCACTAGAAAGAAAGTGGGGGACGGTGAGGATCGAACCCGGTACGTCGAGGCTCTGATACCATGGAAAAAATCAATTCAATCCAAAAGCTCAAGCTATTGGGTGATGCTACATTAATGATTTTATATATCTCACATAGTTGTCAGTAGCAGTTAGCAGTCGGTAGCGGCCGACCCCGAAAATGGTACAGCGGTGTAGCGGGTAGCAGTTTTGCCGCTACGGTGAAGTATTAATTCCACATATATTATACTAACAGTCAAGAAACGAGGCAATACTGCTTTTAGTATTAATGCTCAAACATAAGAAGTCACACAAAATCAAACACATAATTCCACAATCAATGTCAAATACAAGGAACATAAAGGAAGGATCCAAAACTAAACACAAATGAACAATAAAATTGTCAAATAGTCAAGTAGAAGAAGTGAACTAATGAAGAAAATCATCATCATCTCCGGATTCTCCATCAAATTCCAACATGGGAGTGGTGTAGCGGGTAGCGGTATTGCCGTTACACTACGTCGCTACCTTCCGCTACGGCCAATGTCGCGTAGCGTCGTGGTTTGTAGCGGTCGACCGCCGCTACGGTAGCGGTTTAGCGGCGCTACGGGCCGCTATCTCAACACGTCCCCTCACACGAGAGCTCACTGGGCTTGAAGGGTGGACAATGTACAGGCCCACCTACCTGTGCGAAGAAAGAAATTTCACTAGAAAGAAAGTGGGGGGGGTGAGGATCGAACCCGGTACACCGAGGCTCTGATACTATGTAAAGAACCAATTCAACCCAAAAGCTTAAGCTATTGGGTGAGGCTACATTAATGATTTTATATATCTCAAACATATACTAATAATCAGGTAATGTTCTAGCTAGCATTATTAGTGCATGCCCAAGCCCACTAATACAACAAGATTACTGACCTTAATTAAAGAAGGAAATATATCAAGAAACATAATGAAATTAGGAAACGACTCTTAAGTTGCTTTATCAATAAGATGACTAAAGATATTGTAATATTCGCTAAAAATATTCTGAAATGTTTTGCAGATATTGTATAATCATAGATATTAATCTAATTTGTACATCATTCTTGACAAAATCTATCCTTTGGATTTTTTGTCATTTGATTATACTCTTTGGGAACTTTGGCTCAAACATTATATTAAAACGATTTTTGTTTTCCCACCAGCAAAGACTAAAAGCTGAAATATTGGAGTTGGATAATTCTGCTAGTCAAGTGAGACAGAATAAATCACAGACAGAAAATGAGATAAAGCGTAGAAAGTCATCCCTGATGCAGTGTCAAGAGAGGTAGTTGTTAGATTAAGGATGAAGTTCTCTTCACACTTGTTACTAGTGCAAATTCATATGTTTGCCATTTCTCTTTAATGTAATATTTGCAGGTTGAAGGAAATGAATAATAAATATACCAAGTGTTTGCATATATTGCAAAGATCTGGGGCGGATAAAATTTTTGAAGCTTATAATTGGGTCCAAGAGCATAGCCATGAATTCAAGAAGGAGGTTTATGGCCCAGTTTTAGTTGAGGTACATATGTTCAAAACTCATGTTGTCATAGCTGTTTGGAGTGCATATTTATTCTGTTAAATTGTTGAGTAAAATTTCAGGTGAATGTCTCAAATCGGGTTCATGCTGCATATCTAGAGGGTCAAGTTGCTCATTACATTTGGAAGGTAATCTGTAACAATCTCAACAACAATTCACACAATAGTTGAAAAGAAAAGACCGAGTTGGTATTAATGAGATTAAATCCATTGCACTCCAGTCCAATGATGGGGAAAACTACAAGAAACAAGGGAAGAATTGTAAAAAAGGATTTGTACATAATTGAATTGTAAGTATATCTGTACAAGAATTCTCTGTTTAAAGAGATTAAAAAGACCTAATGGGCTAAGCCCAAATAAGCTTATAGATTATTCTAACTATTACAAAATAATAATAAAATAATTCTAATATTTACAATACTCCCCCTCAAGCTGAGGAATGGATATTTATCATTCCTAGCTTGGTAGTAAGTTCTTGAAATCTATCATTACAAAGACCCTTAGTTAAGACATTAGCCAATTGACGACCAGAAGGAATATATGGAGTAGTGATCAGTCCACTGTCTAATTTCTCTTTAATGAAGTGGCGATTAATCTCAATATGTTTGGTTCGATCGTGTTGAATTGGATTGTGGGTTATACAGATAGCTGACTTGTTATCATAAAGTAACTTCATTGATCCTTCATATCTCACCTTGAGATCATCGAGAATGATTTTCAGCCATAATAACTCAGATACCTTGAGCCATAGCTCGAAATTCTACTTCTGCACTTCATCTAGCAACCACATTTTTCTTTTTACTTCTCCATGTTATAAGATTTCCACAGATAAACATACAATAGCCCGAAGTAGACGTCGGTCAGTCACGGATCCATGATAATCGGCGTTTGTATAAACTTCTAAGGATAGGTTTCCTTCTATCTGGAACAATAGTCCTTTACCTGGTGTGCCTTTCAGATATTGGAGAATTCTGTCCACAGCTTGCAAGTGTTTATCCCTCGGATCATGCATAAATCATAGTAGTTAATTGCGCCGCAATAGTGCCGCGAGCCGCGCCGTATGGGCGTTGCGGTGCCTCGCCGCAAGAAATCGCGCCGTGCCACTGCAGAACGCAATAACGGCTATTGTGATCGCATTTGCGGCCATATTCCTGTCATAAGGCAAAATGTCAATTTTATCCCAAATTTAAATGCGTAACAAATAAAATTTAAGTGTTTTTTAGTCTATCCGCGTCTGTCTCTGTCACTTCTGCTATCTCTTCCTTTAAAAAATGTTTATTTTTTTCATTATTTCTGTCATATATCTATTCTGCTATTTCCGCAACGCAACCCGCTATAACGCTATAGCGTTTTTCGGGGTTGGCCGCGACATGCCGCAATCCGCATTTGATAACTATGGCATAAATTGACTAACAACACTAATTGCATAAGCTAGATCAGGTCTTGTATGAGCTAGATATATCAGTCTTCCCACTATTCGTTGATATTGTCCTTTGTCAACTGGAGAGCTCTCATTTTCACTTCCTAGTCTGTGATTCTGCTTAATCGGAGTATTGGAAGATTTACACCCAAGTTTTCCTGCTTCTTTAAGGAGGTCTAGAACATACTTCCTTTGACAAATAAATATCTTTTGCTTTGAATGAGCAATTTCTATCCCAAGAAAATATCTAAGTTTTTCAAGATTTTCAACTTCTAATTCAGCATTTAGTCTTTTTTTCAGAGCACATTTCTCACCTATATCATCGCCTGTTATAATAATGTCATCAACATAAACTAGAAGGATAGTAGTCTTACCTTCCTGAGAATGTTTAAAGAAAAGTGCATGTCCAATGAAAGCATAATTTTGGTAAATCTTCCAAACCAAGCACGCAGGGATTGCTTCAAGCCATACAACGCCTTCTTTAATCTGCTAACTTTATTATCTCCATTTGTAGAGTTAAATCCTGATTTAATCTGCATGTAAAACCTTCTCTTCTAATTCACCATTGAGGAAGGTATTTTTTACATCAAATTGATTCAAATCCCAGCTAAAATGAGCAACAAGGGACAATAGAATTCTTACAATGTTTATTTTGGCCACTGAAGCAAATATTTTTTCGTAATCAATGTCATAGGTCTGTGTCTATCCCTTGGCTACCAGTCAAGCTTTATACCTCTCAAGAGTCCCATCAGAATTATACTTCAAAGTATACACCAATCTGCACCCTACTGCCTTTTTTCTATTTGGCCTGTCAACAACTTCCCATGTATTATTCTTCTCCAATGCATTCATCTCCTCATTCATGGCTTGAACCCAATTATCATCCTTTAATGCTTCATATACTGATTTCGGGATTGAAATGGAGTCAAGTGTTGTAATAAAACTTCTATGCTACATAGATAGATTCTTAGAGGAGACAAAAATGAGAAATGGGGTGTTGGGTACAAGACCTTTTCCTTTTCCTTATAGCAATGGGTAAGTCATCAGAATTAGTATCAGGTTCAGGAATAAAAGGAGTAGGGTGTTCAGTACTTACCAGCGGTTCAAGCGATTGCAGTTGCTGGTGGAGCAGTGTGCGTTGTTTCTTCCTTTGGTACAATAGTTCGGGTGTCCCATCTTTGCGTACTTTCTGTCTAACAATAGGATGCAAGTCACATGAGGAATCAAATGAATTTTCAACCTCATCAGATGAATTTTCAGCCTTAGCAAATAAGTCTTCCTTCTCATTGTCCTGTAGTGTAACTACTGTAGTAGAAGATGTAGGTAACGGAAAGGGAGACTCAAACTCAAAGAAAATGGATGAAGCTTCTATACTGTTCTCCCCCTGAAGCTGAGGGTGTAGAAAGTAAGCTTCTATATGTTGAGATATATAAAACCATTAATGTAGCCTCACCCAACAGCTTAAGCTTTTGGGATGAATTGGTTCTTTACATGGTATCAGAGCCTCGTGTCCCGGGTTCGATCCTCACCGCCCCCCATTTTCTTTCTAGTGGAATTTCTTTCTTTGCACAGGTAGGTGGACCTGTGGCTCTAATTTACTCTGATGTTGTTTATGGATATGGACGAAGGCAACACATCCAAAGATACGAGACTGGAGACTTTGCATAATTGGAACAGAAGGACTTATATGACCAAGGATTCTGGAATGTAGACGGTTGATGAAATAGGCTGCAGTTAATAAGGCTTCTCCCCAGTAAGAGTTGGATTCAAATGTCTGAAACAATAATGCTCTGGTGACTTTAAGCAAATGTTGATTTTTTCTTTCAGCAACACCTTTCTGTTGAAGGGTATCCACGCATGTGAGCTCATGAATCATACCCTTATCTGAAACAAATTGTGATAGACGCTGGTTGACATACTCTGTCAGATCTTAATCGCTTAATACTTTAACCAAACTGTGTCTCGATCATTTGATAAAATCGAATAAACAATTCTGGTACTTCTGACTTGTCTTTCATCAAGAAGATCTATGTCACCCGAGTGAAATCATCAATAAAAGAAACAAACCACCTAGCACCTGAAATATTATGTATTTTAGAAGGGCTCCAAACATCCGAATGGATAAGAGTAAAATGCTCAATACTCTTTATTGAACTTGAAGGAAAGGGCACACGGTGGTGTTTCGCAAGCTCACAAACATCACAATGGAAGGAGGCAATTGACTGATTCTTAAACAAAGAAGGAAACGTTGACTTCAATAAGCCAAATGACGGGTGCCCCATGCGTTTGTGATGAAGCCAAATCTGTGAGAATGAAGTAGACGGGCGGTGACTTATCAATAATTGATTCCCGGTATCCCTTGTAGCATGCTCTGGAATGAGATAGTGCAATCCACCCTGCTCTTTAGCAACTCCAACCGTCCTCCCCATGGTGATATCTTGAATAACACAATAGGTAGGAAAAAATGTGACAACATAATTCATGTCAGTTGTAAGCTTATAAGTGGAGATAAGATTGGTGGAGAGCTGAGGAACATAAAGAACATTTTTTAAAAATAAGGAAGGTTGAATTTGAATGTTACCAGAACCCACAACTGATTTATGGGATCCATCAGCTACAGCTATAGTACGGATACCACTAGTAGGGTGATATGAAAGAAACAGATCAGCTAGACAAGTCATACAATCAGTTGCACCAAAATCCAGAATACACGAATTTTTGAAATCAGTGCAAGAAGTAAGAAGAGATGTAGGGTGTGTGATCTTACCAAATATAGTCGATCAGAACAATAAAACAAGTTTATCTTTTTTGTTTAAATAGAAAAATCAAATGATGTTGAATCAAACAAAAAAGTACAGATCTAGAAAGAGCATGAAGAGGTGATCAAAACCCAAGTGGTCCGCTACGGAAAGTCACCGTCACGCGCCGGTGTAGCTTTCGGCGTGTGGGAATCGCGCTAAAGAATTGGTAGCGCGTGAGAGCACCTGCGAGGTCCACAGGAGTTGGGCTTTTCATAGCGAGGTCGTCCAGCGAGCAAAACCTGTCTGTGGCTGTTCGGAGTCAAAAAGTTGCCGGAATAGTGTTGTTTGCCGTCGAAACAGTGCTGTTTGGCTTCTTTTGGAGCTGTTTTGGTTGTCCGTTGAAAGAAAAACTTCCGTAGAATGATAAATCTGAGAAAACGGAATGAAAGAGTAGTCCTCTTGGTCTAAAAGGTCTCCGAAATTTTTTTCCAATGGCGGCTTCGTGGTGGCAAGAGGCAAATAGGGTTCCATCTTTAAAGGCGGCGGTTTGTGGAAGCAGAGCCCTCAGAATCGAGAGCTCTGATACCAAATTGTAAAAAAGGATTTGTATATAATTGAATTGTAAGTATATCTGTACAAGAATTCTCTATTTAAAGAGAATAAAAAGAATAGGCTAAGCCCAAATAAGCTTCTAGAGTATTTTAACTATTACAAAATAATAATAAAATAATTCTAATATTTACAATAGGAAGAAAAATGATTATAATCAAAGGAAATGAAAATGTTAGAAATAATATTAATTTATTATTAGAATAGTCTAGATTGTAGGCTTGGCCCATTAGGTCATCCCATTAGGTCTTTTAGTCTCTATAAATAGAGAGCCTCCTTGTACAGACTAATATACTTGAATATACAATATATTTCAGATTCAATTTTGGTATCAGAGCTCTCGATCTGAGGGCTCTGCTTCCGCATATATATCTTTCTCTTTCTTTTTACTACCGTGCATCATACCGGCAACCATCCTTTCACACCTAACCCTTATTTAGTCACAAATTTCTTGTCCTCAACCTCGTATCATCAGGAAAAAGATCGTCAGCCTCCGTTCATCGCCGGAAACCGCCACAAAACCACCGTCCGCCACTGTTCACCGCCGTCAGACTGCTTTTCCGGCGACTTTTCCGACCAACCACCACGCGATCAGGAGCAGCTCAGGGAGGCGACACTGTCTGTCCAAGCCGCGTGTTGATCGGAGCATCCACGCGCCGCCACGCGCCGGTGGAAGTCTCTGGCGGCTGAGCCACCGTCCGGCCACCGTTCCGGCGCGTGAGCCACCGTCCGGCCACCGTTCCAGGCCGGACCACCACCATCTTGCTTGCCTCCTCACTCTCTTTCCAGATCTGGTCTCCGTTCGTTGTGGGTCCCATCCGTTTGAAAGATATCAGTGAAAAACCCGTTGTTTGGACACTTTTGTGCAACGTTTTTGCGCGATTTCTTGCTTTCTTGTAGTTCTTTGCACTTCTGGTCATCTCCTTTTATTTTGTGATGGAGGGCTCAAATAATGCGTCCAAAAACACGACTGGCATCATCTCCGGTACTACCCCATCTCCATTCTTTTCTCGGGCCAGTGATTCCAATTGGAACAGTGGACGCAGTCGCAGACGTGGCCGCAGACAGAGGCCTCGTTGCAATTATTGCCAGAATCTTGGGCATTTTGAAGAACGCTGCTATAGGAAGTACCCTCATTTGAAGCCACCGACTGCCAACTTTGCTCAAACTGATGTTACGCCACCTTCAACTGGATTAGTAACTCTTTCAAGTGTCGACTATGAGGCACTTCTCAAGAAGGTTTCTTCTCAG